TTCTTTAAATCCAAGGAAACTACACCGATTAAATACTTAAACTAACCCAATGCAATCAATTAAACCCAAAACAATCGGTCAAAAACCTCAATTCCATCATAACTTAGAAAAACCTAGAGTTCCACTAAAAATCCTCAGAAATTCCAAGTAATTCCAAGAAAGAAAGAAGATTAGAGGTTAAAATCACTTACTTGAGGTAATGGATCCTTAGAAATGTCTTTCCCAAGCTTCAAAACCAAAACCCTAGCAGAGCTTCTCTCTCCTCCTCATATTTTCTTATTTTTCGCACGCTGACTACTCCCGCGAATATATAGATTCGCGACCTTTCGCCGCGGCGAACTCCATCTTCGCCGCGGCGAACTAATCCCGAGAGGGATTACTCGCCTGAAAACCTGATTTCGCCGCGGCGAACCCCAACCTTCGCCACGGCGAAAGCTTTCCGAGAGGAAAACTCTCGCTCGCCTAGAAAACATTCGCCGCGGCATAACCTGCCTTCGCCGCGGCGAAACCTTCCCGAGAGGGAACCCTGCTCACCTGAACAACTTCGCCACGGCGTGCCCCTACCTTCGCTGCAGCCAAACCTTTCCCGAGAAGACACTCCTCTCTGAAACTCCCGGTGCGCCGCGGCGAACATACCCTGAGAGGGGTACGTTCACCTATGCCTCCAACCAACCTCAAATCTAACCCCAAACACCAAGATCAAGATTAAATCACTAATCTATCCTCAAAATCAACCCAAAAGGATGCCATTAAAACCCGATCAAACTTAGGATGTTACAATTCTCCCCAACTAAGGAATTTTGTCCCCAAAATTCAAGCAATCACACAAAACACCACACAAACAAACACAAGACACTTACTAAGAAAACAAACGAGGGTAATCACGTCGCATCCTTTCCTCTGTCTCCCAGGTGGCATCACCAGGACTCATGCCCTTCCAGAAGACTTTCACCAAACGAATGGTCTTATTCCTCAATTGCTTGTCCTTCACATCAAGGATCCTTTCCGGTTCAGCCTGGTAAGTTAGGTTGTCATCCAGCTCACCTCCTCAGGCTCTAAGATGTGAGACGGATCAAGGTGGTACTTCTTGAGTTGGGACACATGAAACACATCATGTACATTGGACAGGTGCGGCGGCAGAGCAACTCGATAGGCTACTTCTCCAATTCTCTCCAGAATTTCAAAGGGTCCAAGAAATCTAGGAGATAACTTTCTTGCTTTAATGGACCTCCCAATACCAGTAGTAGGCGTGACCCTTAAAAATACATGGTCACCCTCACAAAACTCCAATGGTCTCCTCCTCCTATCAGCATAACTCTTTTGCCGGCTCTGAGCTGTCAACAACTTCTGCTTGATGATCTCAATCTTCTCTGTGGTGGCATCCACCAAGTCTGGTCCTAAAACCGTTCTTTCACTCAGTTCCGTCCAACAAAGAGGCGATCTACACTTCCGGCCGTAGAGTGCTTCATAAGGGGCCATCTGGATGCTGGCATGGTAGCTGTTGTTGTAGGCAAACTCAGCTAAGGGTAGGTGATCAATCCAACTCCCCTTGAATTCAATAGCACAAGCTCAACATATCCTCTAGCGTCTGGATTGTCCGCTCGGTCTGTCCATCGGTCTGTAGGTGATATGCCGTACTGAACTTCAACTTAGTACCCAAGGCCGCATTCACCGCTTTCCAAAAGTTAGAAGTAAAGCGCGGATCTCGGTCTGAGACTATACTCGACGGAACACCATGAAGCCTGACAATTTCATCCATGTACAACTTGGCCATTCTCTCCAAGGTATAACTGACCTTATACGGCAAAAAGTGAGCAGATTTTGTCAATCTGTCCACCACCACCCAAATAGCATCGTACCCTTCGGGTGTCCTCGGCAAACCTACAATGAAGTCCATGGAGATGCTATCCCACTTCCACTGAGGAATTTCTAGCCCTTGTAACAAACCTCCAGGTCGTTGATGCTCTATCTTGACCTTCTGGCAGGTTAAACACCGAAGTACAAAGTCAGTCACCTCCTTCTTCATGTTGGGCCACCAATACTGCTGCTTTAGGTCATGGTACATCTTGGTTGCTCCGGGGTGGATGGCGTAACGGCTTCGATGAGCCTCCTCTAGGATGGTTCTTTTAATCTCCTCATCCTGGGGAACACAAATCCGGTTCTTATACCTCAGGATGCCCATATCTCCAATTTCATAGTCCTGTACTGGGCCATCCTCCAATTCTACCCGAATCTTTGCCAACTGATCATCTTCCCATTGAGCCGCTCGTAAATCCTGATAGAATTCATAATCTCCAAGCACTGCACATAAGGTAGCCTGCTCCGACGGTACAATTGGGATCTCTAACAACTCCTCGAGCAAGAATTGTTCCTTTAAGCTTATACAGAACACATGCACTGCTTTTCTACTCAGCGCATCCGCCACCACATTTGCCTTTCCAAGATGACACTTAATCTCAAGTCATAGTCCTTCAGGAACTCCATCCAACGACGCTGCCGGTTGTTCAACTCTTTCTGATCCACCAAGTATTTCAAACTTTTATGGTCACTGAAGACTTCAAACTGGGAGCCATACAGGTAATGCCTCCAGATCTTTAGTGCAAAAACTACTGCCGCTAGCTCCAAGTCATGGGTTGGGTAGTTTTCTTCATGTGGCCTTAGCTGCCTGGAAGCATATGCCACCACCTTATTGTTCTACATTAGCACACAACCCAAACCCTTTAGTGACGCATCGGTGTAAAGAACATAAGGTACTCCGGGGATGGAAGAGTAAGAACTGGAGCTGTAGTCAACTTGGTCTTCAGCTCTTGGAACGCTGATTCACATTTCTCCGTCCAAACAAACGGTTGATCCTTCTTGGTTAACTTGGTCAACGGCATTGCAATTTGAGAAAAGCCTTGGATGAACCTCCGATAGTATCCAGCTAATCCCACAAAACTCCGTACCTCAGTTACCGATCTAGGGACTTCCCACTTAAGTACTGCGTCCACTTTGTTAGGATCCACTGCTACTCCCTGAGCTGACACCACATGACCCAAGAACTTCACTTCTTTTAACCAAAACTCGCACTTTGACAGCTTAGCATACAACTGGTGATCCCTCAATATCCGTAGTGTGATATGAAGATGCTCTCGATGTTCTTCCTCACTTCTAGAATAAATCAGGATGTCATCGATGAACACTACCACAAATCTGTCCAAATAAGGTCGGAAGATCCGATTCATGTAGTCCATAAAGACAGCTGGAGCATTTGTCAGTCCAAAAGGCATCACCAAAAATCATAATGTCCATAACGAGTTCGAAAGGCCGTTTTCGAAATGTCCTCTGCTCGTACCCTCAACTGATGGTATCCTGATCTCAGATCAATCTTAGAGAAAACTGATGCTCCAACTAATTGGTCCAATAGGTCATCAATTCTAGGCAACGGGTACTTGTTCTTGATTGTGACCTTGTTTAGTTGTCGGTAGTCGATGCACAACCTCAAGCTACCATCTTTCTTCCTCACAAACAAAACCGGCGATCCCCACGGTGACACACTTGGTCGGATAAGTCCTTTTCTAGCAATTCTTCTAGTTGCTTTTTCAACTCGACCAATTCTGAAGGAGACATTCTATAGGGAGCCTTGGAGATTGGGGTGGTTCCCGGAACCAACTTGATGGAGAACTCCACTTCTCGCTCTGGAGGTAATCCTGCAACCTCGTTTGAAAACACTTCAGGGTAGTCCCTCACCACAGCTATCTGCTCAATTCCTCCTGCCTCATCCTCACTAATTGAAAAGAAGACAATGAAGGCCTGGCACCCTTTCCTCACCGCCTTCTCTACTTGAGCAGCTGACAACAAAACCGGACCACTTGACAACTCAGCACATAAAGCACCTACCGGAATTGTCACCACCCTCCTTTTACAATCAAGGATTGCTCTATTGGCCATCAACCAATTCATGCCAATAATCACGTCAATACCTTTCAAGGGTAGACAGAACAAATCTATCGTAGAATCTCGACTCTCAAACTGAAGTGCAAGCTCTAGACACGCTCTTCCAGTTACAACAGTGACTCCAGCAGGAGTAGACACTCTTAAGTCATAAGGTAGCTCAACCACAGGCAAGCTCAACTTCTGAGCACAGTCCATAGAAATAAAGGAGTGCGTAGCACCCGAGTCAAATAAAGCAGAAATAACATGTCCCTCAAGTAGAATGTTACCTCGAATCAAGTTCGGAGATGCAGAAGCCTCCTCATTTGTCATCGCATAAACTCGTCCTGGAACGGTAGAACGACCAGCTGGAGGTGTCGGCTGACTCTCTGGACAGTTTCTAGCAATATGTCCCCACCGGTGGCATCGAAAGCACTCCCAGCATTGCCCCGCATGCCTACCCTGAGAGGGGTACGTTCACCTATGCCTCCAACCAACCTCAAATCCAACCCCCAAACACCAAGATCAAGATTAATCACTAATCTATCCTCAAAATCAACCCAAAGGATGCCATTAAAACCCGATCAAATTAGGATGTTACACCAGTAAAGTCTCGAAGGCCCAAAAAGAGAAAAGAGGCTAGATACCGGCCAATGGGTAAGTTAGAAACCTCAAAGAGATGGTTCTATGAGGTTAGGCTTAAGCAGGGGTAAAACCGTAAATTCAAAAAGTTATGACCAGCAAGGGCAAAAATGGAAGAGTGTACAGAAAATTCCAAGAAAATCCCAAAAAAATGGGAAATAATATTCTAAGACTCTTCTATGAAGAGAAAAGATGAAAATACCCCTGAGGCAGCTTAAATGGAATTTATGAGGTTGTGACCGGTAAAAAGTATACCGTTTGAGGTAATTATTTGAAATAGCAAGAGACCTCAAAAGTGTATACAAAAATGAGGTTAAAGGGTTGAAAGGTTGTACTAATTTATAAAATTAGTCCCGCAACCAAAAGGCCAGTAGAGTGGCTTTAAGAAATTAAAGAGCCGGTTTTGCCGATAAAAGGGTATTTTAGTAAATGCATTTATGCAAGGCTTAAAGGAAGTGTTATGGCCTAAGAAAATTCATAGATACTCTCTAAAATTAAAGAGAATTTATGGATCTAACAGAAAATAATTACAAAGGCCAGAGCACTGTAATTAGAGAAAAGAAGTTAAACCCGGAGTAAAAGTGCACCGATAAAGTATTAATCAGAGTCTTGCACTTTACTTGGGCCACAAGTCGCCACTTGTCAAGCCTTTAATGGATGGTAATTAAAGCTTTCCAAGTGTCAAGCTACCAATGGAGAGGATCTTGACTTTGGAATTTAATTACATTATGATTTAAGTTAATTAAGAGAGAGGATTAAGATTAAGTAGGCTAATGACACTTGGCATAACATTAATGATGGTTGGTGGGATATTTTGTACACATTAATGAGCTCATCTCTCCCCTAAATCAGATGGGAATTTCGTGCAAGGCATGAAGAGAGGGAAAAAGAGAGAGTTTTGAGGGGAAAACCAAGAGAAAGGCATCAACTTTGGTCATACAATCAAGGTTCAAGGTGAGTTCTTGGCTCTAGATGTGTTCTTGCCTTGGTTTCTTTCTCTTTTATGGTTGAAAATATGTCTTCTCTCCCTTTTGATGGCTGGTCGAAATGGTTGATGAGTGGGGAAGGGAGTTTGGTTGTTAGATCTTGCTAGAACACCTCAAAGTATGGTAGATCCAAGTGGATCTATGTGAAAATTGGAAGAATTACGTGCTGATTTGATGGCTTTTTTGAATTAGTTACTGTTCATATCTGGTTCTGAAATTTGGTATGCTTAAAGTACACTCTATGAGCTTTAAATCCATGGGTAGAACACTTCATTTGGATATGTGTACGATTTATGGTGATTTTTCAAAGTTAGGGTTTGAAATCTGGAAACAGTGTTAAGCTTTTGGAAGGGTGTCGAGTTCCGTACAATTCTGGTACTGTTCGGCGTAGAATTGGTTCCTGAAATATTTTTCCTTTAAATTTAACTTAATTAGCTTTCAGTGAGACTTGGAACACTCAATTTGGATTTTTCTAGATTTAATTATGAATTTTCAAAGTTGAGCAAAAATTCTGGAGATTCTGCGTGAACAGTACCCGCGAACCAAAATTTCCAGATTTGATATTCTTGAATCTAAAGCCATCTAAAGTGGTCCTAATTGATAGGAAATAGATCATAAGGATGTAAAATGATAAGATTTATATTAGAAAAGTTAGAAAGAAAACCCTAAGACTAAGAGAAAGGGGTTGAGGTTCAAGAAAGCTAGTCTTGAACTTTATGTAATCTAATGGTCCTAATGGATTGTGTCATCATTATGGTTATGTTTAGGACCTTTGGAACATCCAAGAGGATGTTTAGTGATGTTGACCGAATGCCCACATGGTTGGAAAGTCAAGGGAGTCAAAGGAAAAGTAAGAGGAAAGCTTGAGGTGCAAGGTAGTGAACTTACCCTTTATGTGCTTGACATGGTATGCTTATGTGTTGGTTTGTATTTGTTGTTTGAATGATGTTGTGACATGATGATTGTTGCTGGAAATGCTGTTTTTAATATGTTCCCATGGCCATGCATTTTTATACCAAGCATAAAGCATGATGGCATGTCACTAGTTAACTTAAGTTTATGAAAAACTACATACCATACACTAGCATCCATCTTGTGCATGTATGTGGTAATGTTTGCTACTGAGATTCCCCCGAATCTCACCCCCTCCCTAACCAACCATTTAGGTCAATCAATGATGGGCACTAAGGGCATGAGAAGCAAGGAGAAGAAGTGGAGAATTATTAATGCTAATGATTGATGTTATTATTCAATGTATAATTCTCCTATGCTGTAAATTATGTTATGAATGCCATCAATTCAATGTATATGCTTAGGATGTTTATGGCATGAATGAAAGTATATGAGTATGAATGAGAAAGATTAAGCCCATGTTAGGTATGTCAAAGAAATAAAAAGAATTAAAGTAAGGAGATATTAAGGATAAAACGTAGGTCCTGAAGCAGTTAGTTTTGAGCTTCAGTTTGACCTATCATATGAATGAGTTAAATCACGAGATTTGGTAGACTTATAGTGCACATCCCAAGCTTTAAAATGAGTGGTAAATCACCTCATTTGGATGTGTATACAAGAGATATGAATTTTCAAAGTTAAGGCGCAGAATCTGGAAAGTCCAGATTTTACCAAATGAATAGTAATTTTAATCCAATAAACTGTACGTTTTCAGTGAGGATGAGTTCAGTTGAATATTTTTCCCTTAAAGAGCATTGAAAGAGCTTTCCGTAGAATTTTGGAACACCTCCATACGATTTTCTAGAATTAGTTATGATTTTTCAAAGTTGGACCTGTAATCTGAAAACTGGACAGTGAACAGTAATTTTCCGAAAATTAACGTCCAAATTGAAATTTTTAAGCTTAAGACCATCCAAAGTGGTCTGGAATGGTTCTAAATGAATGCTAAGGTATTATATAAGTAAGGTGTGACATTTTTTGGTATCAGAGCAGAGGTTCTGGCATAGGAAGAAGAGAACTATCTGCAAGAATTTAGAAAAGCCCAGTTCAGGTTAGAGCTAGTAGTGGAATACTAGCTAAGGTCCAACTAAGGTTATGGATTGGAGGTGAATGCTCTAGGGAAAATAAGTAATAAGGATCTTTAAATGAAGTTGGGGTCCTCTGTTAGAAAGGTACAGATAAAATAATGATAAGGAGTTATACGCAGAGGAAGGTAGCCACTGTGTAAAGATAAAGAGACTTCCCTCTAAAGAAAAGGGGATAATGGCTATAAGTCAAATAGAGGTATGAGTCTAAACCCTAGAAGAAAAAGGGTTAAGTGGCAACCTAAGTTAGATACAATTACTGTAGCCTTGATACAAGGTTAAGGCAGCACGATCAAAGTAGTTATCTTTGATTCCTAAATAGATATAAAAAGGTCAGAAGAGCTAAAGATTAATTTCTGCCACTGGTAATCCCTGAGGATAAGGGAAAGCAAAAGTGCTAATGGCCTAGAGTTGTGAGCCAGACCCTTCCTTCATTGCTTGAAAGGAAGTAGTTGACTTAGTTGGGGATTACAGTGAGGCTAGGACATGGAAGTCCTTCAGGCAGCAGTTAGGTTACGATGAACAAAGCTAAGTAAAACTAGCAGAAGTAAGAGAAAGTATGTTTGTCATGATGAACCAAAGAAAGTGGTGGCGAATAAGAATTCTGGTCATGACGAATAGAGATAGTGACTCTCAGATGCTGAGGTGGTATCTTGGCACGACTTGATGGACTATGAGGTCCCTGAGAGTAAGACTGATAGAGCTCAAAGAGAGAGTTGTAGCCACTATTTAAAAGCTATCAGATTCCCCCTCAAGAGGAAGAGTAATGATGAGTTGAACAAGATAGTTAGGGGTTGAGTCTGTACACCGCTAAGAGGGTGTAGTGGCCACTTAAGCTGAGCAAGCTCTTAAAGCCTCGTTAGAGATGGGGCACTATGATAGAGTAGCTATCTCAAGTTCCTGAATAGATAAATAGGAACATGGAGATAGTAAAGTCAAGGTAGATAATCCTAGTGGAATTCTTAGGGATTAAAAAGAAGAGAAAGAGATGAGAATGAGACAGATAGCCATGCGGGGAACTAGCATTATGAGATTGGCATGTTCCCGATGATGTTAAGAGATACTCAGTCACGTGGGGTTAGGTTGAGAGGCACCCTTTCCAAGGGATAAGTTCTTGGCCAGGAATCTTCCTAGAGAAAATAGGAATTGGTCCTCCAAGTCAGAATTGACACTGCTCTAGATGGAGCAAAATGCCCTATCCGATCAGGGAAAGGGAAGCAGCCGAGGCAAGGCAAGTGGAGTTGACCTTACCTAATGGAAGCACGACTAGCCAAGAATAAAGCTAGGCTTAGATGTACCTGAGCTTAGCAGAGTACTAGAGTAAGCAGAAAGAAAAAGAACCTCAAAAGTCCTCTCCCTATAACTTCCAGAAGCAGCTGCGAACAGAGAAAGAGGCTCCCTCTTGTAGGGATAAGATGTCCAGTCGGCATGCTATGGACATAGCAATCAGTAAGAGCTTGCACTCCTTGCATTAAAATGTCAGAAATGCATGTTAGAGTATGCTCATACTGAAAGTAAAGCAGAGGAAAGAGAAGTTGCATAAGTCCTCTCTCTGTACCGTTCTAAAGTAGTAAGAGACGGTAAGAGCAGCTGGAGGAGTAAGAGAACTCCTAAGACAGATTGGCTTAGGCACCTAAAGAGACGAATAGGTAGCCTAGGGAATTGACAG